AATTTGTTGTCATTCTTTGTTTATTTATAACTAGAAACAACACCTCTTACATTACCAGCAGTAGATAGCCCGTTAGAAGTGCAGCTTTTAATATTTTGACATAAAAATGCGTTTTGTTCATTTCTTTGGTCATTGCTTCTCTTGCATGTGAGCGCACGCTGATGCATGTTCAGACTTTGACATTAGAAAATGTGCTGAAAGCTTCTCTGATCTTATCAAAAAGAAAAATCAGATTTTGTTCACCGCGTACGAGCAGGGTTTGTGACACCGCGAGTAGCTTGGAAAAAACAATCGCAGTCAAACAGGAGATACGAGTTGTATTAAAATAAAAAAAAATAAGGGAAGAAGGAAGTAAAGATTGAATTTATTTTAAGAGGTGCCGCGCCTTTCAGGATTTATTTTTCCTTGGAAACGAACATTAATTTTACATTTCAGATTGGTGTGAAGGATTTCTTTAGAATGCTTTTTTTTATTTTTAATCAGGAAAGACACACCAATGGACTGTTTGACCTTTTTTGTCATGCACATGGTTGCATAACACCTCTGCTCTACATAATGCCTTACTAGCAATACAGCCCCTAAGCCTTTATGGCTTATTACACAGTGGCCTTTTATCAGTAGCACACCTTTATTAGTTCTGGTAAGTAAAACTGGACCTAAGATGTTTTAACACTACATTTTAAATGGTGAACCATTTATTAACATTAAAGGATTTGACCTTTTGTACAGTGAAGAGCTTTTTTGATTTCCTCTTGTTTATTTGACACCTTAGTGACAAAAACAAAAATAAACCGCCATCAGCGTGGGTGTGCTCTTCACTGAGGCAAAACCTATGTCATGGAAGACTAGTGTATTATTATTTTTCATAAGGGCACGATGAAAATTCCAGTACGGCCAGCAAAACCTGCTCACAGACCCGTCACTGAGCACGCAGCTTCATTATGCAGCTCTGAAAAACTTGATATTCCCTTTGTGTCAGACTATAGAGCACATCTATAGTATTCACTCACTGACTAATACCGCTCACACAGACAGTATACAGAACCTGCATGCAATGAACAACACTTTCTAATCTCTGGACTTCTTTTGCTTCTGTTTAAAATCACTGACATTTAAAGTCTGATCTGAGGTCAAACAGTACTCACAGAATTAACAAGATTGTGACTAAAACTGTTCCCTTGCATCTCCATACATCTAGATGTAAATGTCAGCATGTACCTTCCTACCAAGCAACATTCTAAAAAGGCACAGGGACTCCAAGTGGGTTTTTACTCATCAGTCGGTACAACACTAACAACTGTGGGTTCAAAAGCTTCACATGAACGAGTTCAATGCACAGAAGAAGCCTGGCGGCAGTATCTCAAGACACTGGAACCACTTGAAGCATGGGGATATTTATAGCCTCTTTAGGAGCCTCCACGCCATCTCCAAAAACCTCTACAGTGGATTCTCAACACAACTGGGTGCTGATAACAAAGTAAAAACCTCATGCAGCAGCGTCTGAGACGTGCTCAGACTTGCATGTTGTTGTCATCCCTGTGAGTCATAACACATCCAAAAAGCAGTCAGTCAAACAGCTGGAGTGAGCCATGACTGCTTTGGTGTACGCCTTAAATGACGGCACTACGCTGAGCCCTATGGGTGAGGTCCCCTTCGGCAGTAACTGATTTACCTCTGACCTAACAAACTGTTATGCAGGTTTGATTCTGGTTGAGTCACTGGCCGACTGGTTGGTCGTCTACTGCCTCTTTCTACGTCTTGTTGCCATTTGGGCGTAAGCTGAGCCGTCCACTGGCAGGCCAGCTGGTGAGCTGGCTGTGATACAGTATTTCAACAGCACACCGGCCTAAACAGGAAAGCGCCAGTGGGAGAGTTTTCACCTCTGACACCCCGTGTGTCACAGACTGTTGTTATTCACTGGAAAACACACACCAGTTCAGCACCGGGTTATATTTTTGCAAGCTCACATTTGCCTAAAAAAGAAAAAGCCCCCCTTCTTTTATCACAATGACAGTAGCTTCCAACCTTTTGTTTTGATGTGCAGGAGGATTGTAATTAGCTGAGAACAATACATCAAAAACATGCAGCGTGTACAGTTTTTAAGCTACGGCCCAAATCAGTGGAACTGCGCCAGAGCACAACTGACAATATCATTAACTGGAATGAAAGTGACAACTGAGCAACACAATAACAAAAGCAAAAGCCTGTTTAATAAGATACTGACTTTTGTTTTGACGTATCAATTGTTATTGAGTCAAAATGAACGCATGAACGCACGCACGCAGAAAAACACACACCCAGGCAAGTCTGTGCAGGTCGTAAAGTGTGGGACGCTCCTCTCTTTAGATTTAAAAATCAACACCAAGAATTGACTTCACAACTCTTACACTGTTTTTTAGAAAAAGGGTGTGTGTTTTTAAACCAGTGCTATCAGCTCAGTGTTTCGCTTTGGCCAAACAGCCACCAAAAACCAGAAGATAATTTAGATTACAATACCATAAAACATTACAGAGGACAAAAAGGAGCAAAGTACAAAGAATTCATGTCTCACTTTATTTTAATTATCACTGAATTAGTTCTTACAGCTTTCTTAGAAACACTAAGGTGTATTCTTACTGGGATGGCAAGAGAATCTTGATGTTTTTGTAAACTTTCACTTACTGCCATTACGATGTTATTACTCATTTCATTTTAAATCCAAGAACTATCGTGTTAATAAACTGCTATGTGCAATATGCCTTCTGCTTCCTGAGCTTAGACCTTAAAAACCTGGTGCCAGCCAGTTACAATGTGACAACCATAAAGATGTTTTTCCTGTTGTGGTTTCCAAGACTTATCTAATCTCTGAAAGCCACTTTGCTGACTGTCTGAGTCGAAAGCAGTGGTTTTCAAACTGGGGGCACAGACTTAAAAGAAGACAGGTGGGGGTAATCCGATGATCAATATGCAAAGAAAGAGCATGTTGGGAAAACAAGGGTTTGCTGACGCTGTCCTGCTGACCTTCACTAAAAAATTAACTAGCTTTCTTTTTTGTCCTTGTTATTGTTAATGATTGATAACAAATCTGAGTCACCTACTGATTGGTGGGGGGGCGGGCCATGCTTGGATAGGCTTGAGAACCGCAGTTCATGAGAATCTGATTGTGAACTATAAGAAGTTATCTGTCAAATAAACTCCAAAGTTCTTTTGGAGATGAATCACATACATGCAATCACAGTGAAACAGACACAATCTGCATCATCTCCAGCTTAGAGCAATGTAAGTGCGATTATCAGTGTGCAGCCATGAACCCACTTAATGTAGCTGCAGTATGACAGCTACAATCGGGCAATCCCCAGAGCAAGTAAACTGAAAGCCTTTCACTTCGTCTATCGTCTGCTCACTGAGCCACACACACTCATCCTGGTACAATTCTCACCATCACTAAACCTCCACCACAAATGCCCTCGAATATCCACTTCACCCCCATTTAACATCAAGTTCGGTTCAGTGATAATGTGCATACAATGAAAATTTGCTGCTTTTTAATCAATTATTTGAGAATTTGTGAATTATTGATGCACCAGTATTGATTTTTCTTTTTTTTTTTTTTGTAGCTGTGTGCGCGCAGAGAAACGTTTCCAAAAGATTAGACATGCTGATGCTTCCTTCTGCGCACTATATTTAAGAACTGATTCATGTCTCTGAAGTCTGTGAATTATATGCTTGGTTTCCAGCGGAGGGAAAAAAAAATAAAAATCTGTGTGCTTAAGCTTTATAAAACAGCTTGGCTTGCGATTCAAAGCGTTTTCTCCTCCGGATCCAACCACACACTCGCTCCCGTAGCGCTGCTATATCTAATCCCGAGGGCTGCAGGGAACGCGCGACCCCTCCAAGTTTGATGAGCGCGTCTTTCTCAGTGTAACACTATCCGTGCTGCTGCTGGTGCAAGAGTTTGTAAGTATATCCTACTACTGCTTACTCTAACGCCCCGCTGCTATTATTAGATTAGGATATCCTATAATCTTAAAGTAAGTCAGAGAATTTGCAGTGCGCCGTCTCTGCAACCTCTCCACCCCTCAGGTTGGCAATCCAATTCCCACAACAAGCCCGAGCGCAGTGGAAAAATAACACGCCCAAAGGGAAAAAACCGCAACAAAAAAAAAAAAAAAAAAGAAAAAAAACGAGTCAGCGGGCTAACTCGCACTTACCAGTAGTTAGTTTTAATATTAAACCGCTCAGAGTGCCGATGTCTTTCCCGTCTTGAATCCAGCTCCGCTCTTTTTTTCACTGCTCCACCTGTAACGTTCACTCCGCGTCTAATTCCTGCAGGGAGTGATTATCCGACAGGCAGCTCTCAGCGGTAGGCAGCGCCTGAACACGTCACGTGTTTGATCGCACCTTTACTTATATAGGAGCCGCTGGGCTTCGAGACCGAGCAGATAGCAACGACATAGTCCTGTTAATGTTCCCAAGTGCGGACTTTTGGTTTGTTTGGAAATGTTAAGTCGACTTAATAGGTATTTTATCAGAGGACGTATTAAAGCGTTAGCCTAAGCACGACAGAAAGCCACGTTTATTTTGAAAATAAAAAGAAGGACGCAGTCGATATATAAGAAATTAACGTTTTAGTCTCCTATAAAAAAAAATAATACAAAAATATACATATGTGTGTATAAATCTTCTCCATACTCCATTCAAAAGCTATTGAAAACATTTCCAAATATTCAGTATTCATCATATTCAATATTAAGTAATACAATACAAAAATTAAGGGAACAAAACCATGAATTTACACATTCACACCGAATTCATCATCTGCCATCTAGTGGCTCATAAAAGCTACTTCACCTGCGCATTTTAAAAAACGCACAGTTTGAATGAAAAAACCCTAAACCAGAAATCCAGATGAACAAAATGTAGATCCGACAATAATGAAAGGGGAAAGTTTCTTTCAGTGTCCCGGTGAAATTAGCTGTGAGGACCTTTGGTGGCATTAGTTTGTGAGGTCCGTGACTTGTTCAGTGTCTATATCTCCGTTTGCCTTCGTCGTATCTGCTGCCAGGACTCGGGGTCCGCAGGTCTTGAAAGGAAGAAGCTACCTTCAGGCTGACCGCTGCTGCGCTCATGGACGGCCGAGGTGAAGGCTGTTTGTTGGGGGTGTTTGCATAGATGGGCTCTTCTGGTGGACGAAAGGCAAATATAGAATCAATGGCATATCATTTAATTGCTGTAATTAATGTATATCTGCATTTGAGCTGTAGGACAATCTGTAGAACAAAAGCTCAGAGGGATTTTTTTTATTGCTTATCATTTGGCTGATTAGACTTTAAAGTAGTAATCAAATATCACTGAGACCAAACAAAAATGCAGGAAAAAAAAATACAGTTTTACCCTAAAAATGTCCTTATTTAGTTTTATTAGTTGAATTAGCTAATTTTGATTATTGTGCAGTTGACTAATTGTTACACACTGCAAAGGAAGCTATTTAAATCCCCAACCCCAATGAAAACAGTGATGAAATACAGTGTAAACACATAACACTATTTATTTATGTATTTATTTCCTTTTTTCTGGATTTGTAGATTTGTAGATTTATATATATATATATTTCTTTTTTTCTAAATACTTTTCATATGTATGCAGTGCTGCAGAAACTGTGCACCCCACCCCTCCTTTCTTCTCAAACATGTTTGCACTGAGTAGGAGATGCTCTGTATGTCGTTGTACATCTGTATAGTGACAATAAAGGCATTCTGTTCTAGTCTATTCAGTGATGAAATACAGTGATTTACAATAAAGACTGATTTCTGTGCAAGTAACTAAATAACATGACCTTATTTTTCATATGTAGTATGTCAGCATCAATTATCTACACTGATAATTTGATTTTTAGAGAAAGACTGCAAGTCACGTCGGATGTTGTCCTTCCAAATCTTTATATATTTGAATATACATAGTATTAAGAGTCAATATACATCTTGTTACTACAAATGCTTCACGTATTTTATTATCAACTTAATACTAAAGTGGTTTTGCAATTTAGAAATTGATCAGGAGATGTAAACTTGAAAGTTTCCTAACAACAGAAAAAAATAGTTTAAGATGTGAATTATTCAAATGTCAAATATTTATTTTTAATTGTAATTCATTTCTATTTTAACAGAATATCCTTTCTGCCCTGAAAACTATACATTTGGAACCACATGTAAGTTTTTCTCACGCTTTTCACACACAAAAAAAATGCTGTCACTGTAAATTTAATCTTGACATTTTTTACTGAAAGGCAAAACATTTTGCAGTGCAAACATTCATGTGTACTGCAAAAACACAAGTGTTGACTCAGTGAAATCACTTGACTATGATTCAAAAGTAAAAAGATTCATCAAATTAATACATCAAAGCCTTTCAAGTTAAAGTTCACTTACAGTCAAGATAGTTAAATGTCAAAGAAACAGAGTCAGTACCAAAGTCCCCTGGAATTTCTTTATTTAATTTCTCACTGCGACACAGATGTGCTAGTCATAACTATAAAATAACTACGATTATACATTTTTAGGTTTTGTTTTATTTATTTTTATGTTTATTTTTACTTTTCTGTTTTCAGTTCAGTTTCGTTTCAAAAGTCAATTTGGTTGTTAGTTTTTGTTGTTTTAAAATTTAAACTTTCATCTCATTTTTATTCATTTCAACATTAATATTAGCTCCTATTGTTATGTTGCAGGTGCTGTTTGACATATTAAAAGATTTAAGTTCAGAATGGTACAGCGATACCCGAGGGGTACCCGAGTCTCAATAGGCATAAGCACTCGCGTCCCCTTGTGCTGGTTATATCGACCAATGTGGCCAAACTTACAAAATACTTAACCAAAATTAATTTCCTTTATATTTTTATTGTATATGATATCATTTCAATACCTTTTTCTAAAGCAGAGGTTTGCTTTTTATTGCCGGTAACTCTCTTTTTCTTTCCTCATTCTCCTCGTTTTCTTTTTCAAGTATACTTTAATACATTTTCTCAGTAACACAATACTCCAAACAACAATTTGTGTCAGTCAGAAACCACCTTGCCTGGGTCATACGTGTGATTTTACAGCTGCTTGGCAGTACTTTCAAAGCTTCACTCTACATCTGTTTTTTCTCCTTCCTCTGTGGCCATCAATGGTGGCCAAACAACCACATGTACTTGCACGAGCTGCTGGTTGCCTACATAAAGAACTGCTTTGTCCTCTGTGGTTTAAAGTTAGTTTACAAAATGTGTCGATGACTTAAATCTGTGAGCTAAATGCAATCTTACGATGACGAGTGGGACTGAAGTCAGAACTAATCAAGTTTTAAACTTAATTTTTTGTCAGTTAATGGACAGAAAATTTGAGTTTTGGAAAAAAAAATAGTTTTCCAATCATAATAATACCAGTTTCATAGTCAAACCACTTGTAAGGGCTTCAATAATCATGAAACAGCTCAGTTTATTTTGCCTGTCAAATATGGACACTACAGAAAGCTATCTGTAAGTAGTAAAAGTGCTGGTTGATGCAGATGTGGATGGGCTTTTTCAGCTTTGCCTGTGTTTTATTTCTGCAGATATCTGATATTAATAACAGTGCTGATCACCTGTCTACAACCAGATCTCAAAGTGCTTACCTCGAGCTCTGCTTCACAAAATAAACTGCGGTCCTTGTCTCTGATGTCTGCTAGAAATTCAAATCTTTTTCTTAAGTGAAACCGCACAGGAGGAGAAGACATCTATTAGTGACAGCAGAGTTTGTCTCACGGTGTGCTGTCAAACCACACTAACCACTTTCTTGCTCAGTTTGTGTCCATCAGCCACTACTTGGGAAGGTTTCTGCTATCATAAAAACTTCTTCTCTCATATAAAATAATGAGAGGTTTTCTTCTTTTAAATGCAAATATTTGCAACGAAATGAATCAGCCTGTACTGTCTGCGGTGTAGATTTGGAGTGACTGTAGATCTTGTGAAGTTATCTTGTGCGATAATTTACTTTTTTGTCGCCTGACCTCTTTTTCTTACAGAGCAACTTTTATCTCAGGCTAGCAGCTTCTGTTGCATACAGCTGAAGCACAGCTTATCTGCAATCTGTATAGACTGTCGATGATTATCTAAACCTTCACAATGAAAAGAAATAGCACTACCTCTATTCTCTTGTCTTCTTGAGAGCAGGACACATGTGACCGCCAGGATGAACAGGATGAAAGAGGATGCTCCCAACACCACCCATATCCACCAGTTGTCACTCAGGGCAGGAGGGTCTGCGGGAGGAAAAGTTTGCCCTGAAATGTGAACGGATTTAACTTACAAGTAACTCTCAAGTCACACCATGGATACAATAAAATGAATTGTCGCGTTATGTGATCACTTTAAAAGATATGTAGTCGTTAAGTCAGCCCTTTTTATGTAAAGGTCCACACACTTCCTGTGAGCAGTACGCATCTGACAGGACGAATGTGAGCACATTGAAACAGTTTTGACTCATCAGCTAGAGCTTTTATCCCCTGTGTAAGTGGACAAATGACACCCACGCAGAGCCACACTGAATGGAAAATCTACGCAGCTCAGTATCTCCTGGGTCCTGAAAATGTCCTATGCCTTTTGAGAACTGCATACACGCGCTCTCTCTCACATGCACACGCACATACATGCACACACCTTCAATATTCGTCACATTTGACGGGTACGTTGTAACTTCACTGTCCGCTGTCGTGGAGGAAACAAAATTATATGAGAAACATTCATTGCAAGCCAGGACATTTAAATTAGTTATGCATTCATTCATGACAAAAAAAGCAGGTGTTAAGATGTTTGTAAGCGGCATATAAACATGTAATGGTTTATAACACATTAATGTTAAAGGTGGGTTGAAGTGGATGCTGTTGTATTTATTATGATAAAAAATGATGTCTCCATACTAACAGAGGAAGGTGTTGACAAATATAGATTACCTGATAAAAGGTAAAGTGCATTTTATCTGTGTACTACTGTACTGCTACATTTTAGTGTATTATACAGCATTTATTAAATGTTTGTATACTGCTCAAAAAAGTTATACAAAAGACTTAAAGTCAGAAATTACCAGTTTTATAAGCCAGAAGTGATACTTACAAACATTTACTTCTGTTCCATTGCTGTGAATTTCTGTTAAACTAGGAATCTCTATTGTGACTTTGCAGAAGTACCATCCACTGTGGTTTGTATTAACGTTTGACAAAATGCAGGTCTTTCTTGAGTCTTGTTCAGTTTTGTTAGTAAAGATATTTTCACAGCCTGAAATTGACTTCCTGAAAACAAATCCAGATTTGCTGAAAAACCAGGAAATTCGATGTCGCTCATATGTCTCTATGTTCAAAAAGCAGTACAAAGCCAGGTCTGATCCAGATGGAACTCTCACTGTTCTTGTTTCATTCAGAAATACAGCAGTTTGACCTGATATCACCATGGCTGTTGCTGCCACTGTAAATAGAAAAAAGAAGATATTTTACTTTTTGAATCATAAAATAGTTCATGTAGACAAAAACTACAGACAGGCGACTGAGTTTCGTCTTCAGGAAACATGCACTTTGCCTTTAGCATGACACTTTTTTTATTTGTACGACTGTGTGTAATCTTTTTTTAATCTGTTAAATATAAAGTCAGGAGTCTTACCTGTGAGTAACAACAGAATCAACTGCTTCAGCGACATTTCCATCTTATCGTGTGAGCGGTGGTCTTCTAATCGTCGGTGTCATCCTGTCTTAGCAGCCTGCCTTTCTGCACATCTGACAAAGCCAGACGTAGAACCGGTGTGTGGGCGGTTGGGTTGGTGGGAGGGAGGAGTAGGGTTTTTTTCTTTTTTTCTAATACTGTTCAGTGTCAGTCAGTTACTTTTACTATAGGAGATTTAGGCAGACACAGCAAATGAAGATGGAAACTGACGTAGGCTTTCTAAAGAAAGTGGAGAAAGAGAAAGAGAATTATTGACCAGACACACCAACTCATTTTTTATACCTAACAGTTTTAGTCACTAGAAATCACACCTGACTACTACTCTTAGGCCTTTCTAAAAAAAAAAAAAAAAAAAAAATACCCTGCATTGCTCTGCACCTTGTGAATTCCTCAGTGATATAAATGTACATTTGCTGACTTTCTTGCTGTCACCAAATATAAAAAACATGAGGATGATGTGAAGGGGTTGTGAAACCCCTGTGGCTTTTAAGTGCAAGGGTGCTAAAACGCTACTCGTCTCGTCTCCACACCGTCTTACTAGAAAAGTAACATCTGGCTTCCTGTGACAAGACACAACTAAGCAAAATGGCTTGATGAACTTTCTGATCCAGTCTCCAACCACAATCTTGACGAAAAGAAAGAGATTCGACTCATATATATTACATATATTAATTTTCTTGAATTGCTGTTTTATAAAGTGAACACAACAAAAGGCTTTAAGAACACAACAGTGTGGGTGGCATTTTGCATTCAGGTGTTTAAAGTGTAAAGCCGTGCTGCATTGATTTGCTCTGAAAACAAATCTTTAATTCACTAACATTATAGCAGGTGTCAGTGTATTATTTGTTCCTGACAGTGAAGAGCAAAGAAAAAAGGCCACAAGACGAGACATCTGAAGGTTGCAGGGGGTGTATAGCTTCTGAAACCTCAACCCTATGATCTTTTTTTTGTCACTGAAAGTAGGTCCTGTTTGTAATGCAAGAAAAGAAAGAATCTTAAAATCATTTATTTAGTAGGACTCTGTGAACACAATGCACTTCATCTTTTATGCTGTTATATATGAAATGATAATAAAATTCGGACCATTTTCTAATTACTGGTGTGGTTTTTCATAAGAAACACATGTCGATGCATAAAAGCAAAAGAAAAAGACAAAAATTACTGTAAAAAATGTTGCGTTTTGAAACAGCTGCGGGGTTGTTGTTTTTTTTAATCAAACATAATGCAAATTTTACTTACTGATCAGAATCAAGAAACGTTACCAACATTTAGGTTTTAGGGGAGCGATACTTAAAAGGGTTTTTCTTCTTCTTTCTATTTAGAGAACCAGTGCAGCTACGTCAGAGTGGGTCTTTTGTTTGCTGCTGAGCAGACAGGAAGCTGCAACTCTTAAGTTAGGAGTCTCTGTTGGTTATTTTAATTCCTTTGTTTTGAGTTACACTTATTGGCCAATGGTCGTTTCATTGTTGTTTTCCTTCATCAAAAGTATGCAAGTTTGCGGTCACTGTGATGTGACCCATTCTGAGGACATAGAAATAGAAAAAAGAAAGTTGTTCAAATGTGTCCAAACTAAAATTGTGAGTACAAAAGTCACATATGCTTTTATACTTTGTTTAAAAATCACGTTGTCATCACTTTTAACAGTTTTAAAGGTTATGAATAGTCTGTGACACATTACACATGCACAACACGTAGTTATGTTCTTTATTTTTCTTATGAGGCAAGAGGCCAAGAGAGGAAGAGTTGTGGTAGACCCTGGTCAAATAGACATACTCAAATACGTGCTCACCTTTACACTTCTGGGCAATTTATAATCACTAGCTGACCTAACGTGCATGTGTTTGAGAGGACGGTGGGGGAGAGAGAAAGTCAAAGCACCTGTAAGAACAAATGCAGACACAAAGAGAAAATGCAAACTTACATGAGCCGACAGTTAAATTCAAAGTCGGTGCTTTCTTACTGTGAGCTGATAGTGTTAACCACACAGCACTTTTAACAGAGTGTGGAGGGTGGCATCTTGCATCTCTCATATCAAATTTTCAGCCTGAATTTAAATGAATAGAAAAAAGGCCAACATCAAGCTCTGATATGACGTAGTGACATATATGATACAGTTACATCAAAACAAGCGCAATACTTGAGTAAAAGTTTTATTTATTTCCATGTTTCTAACCACACCTTAATGAGCAGATTATTCATTCATTTAATCTTTATTTCAGTTGCAAAACACCATCCAACAAAGAGAGGATACCAGTGTCTCTAGAATTAAGACTGGTAATGTCTAGTGTTACACATCATTTGCATTTAGCCCGTAGTGATTTCATATTAAGCGCGCATATATAGTTACATCCAGTAGTTTTAAATATGCTGGCTCCAGTAGTTACAAACATCTTACATTCACTGAGCCATCGTCACCCTCATGACGTCATTGAAAGCTACATTTAGTTTCGGTAAACTCATTTTCCTGCACACACATGTGCTAGAGCTGTACAGTATGCACAAACTAAAGGAAAGAAAAGCACCTTGCTCTATATAATGGTCTAAATGAAGACCCTCCCTCCGTCTGTGCATGCATTAAATATGCTAGTATATACATTATCGCACGTTGCCTACAAATATCATCGTCACGTGTTTTTGTTGTTGTTGTTTGTTTTTGTTTTTTGCTCTGTCCAAGATATCTGACCCTACACAGTAACGTTATTGTATGACAATATGAAGTCTATAAAATCTTAAATGTTTGTCTTCCTTGGTTCTATAAATAATAACATCGCTCTTACAGACACTGTATTTTTTTTAATCCACAACATATGTGAAGAAGCTAATAGAGACCAGAACTACCACGACTAGAGACCACAAGATCATCCAAATTCATAATATGGTTCACCATACTATTACCAACCATGCCCTCAGTTTTACATCTCATATTAGAGATACTGAATAAATAAATCAGTATTTAGGGAGATATAGACTCCAGCACTCATACTGCTGTGGCGACTTATCTGGTAATATAGATGTAGATTTCAGGTGGAGCCTTCTCCTGCATTATTTAGAAGACATTCATTTTTGTCCTCTACAAGGAAAAAAGAAAGAAGGAAGCAGACACAGAGTTTTGTCTTTTTAGTAGTAGATACAGAGATTTTATAAATAACAGGAAAACCTAAAACCATATCCAAGAAGATTTTTTTATTGGGACCCTAAATGGCTCTGTAATCTATCTATCTATCTATCTATCTATCTATCTATCTATCTATCTATCTATCTATCTATCTATCTATCTATCTATCTATCTATCTATCGCGTTGTCCTTTCTCTGACTGCACCTGAAAGCAGCATCCCTCACCCGCGCCACCAGAACATCACTACCCAGAATCCCCCCGTGCCGCATGCGCCCCGCTTACTACGGCCCAAAGGCGTTGGTGGTTGGTGTCCGTCCGAAGATGCGTTGCTCTCCGGCAGCATCAGTACCAGCTCCGCCGTGCTAATACACCAAACCCCGGGGGACGGAGGAGACATACCGGCGGTGTGTGGAGCTGCGACCGCGCCGGTGCACCTGACTGCAAGATGGGAGACCAGAAGGTGAGCCGGAGCCGGGGAACAGGTGTCTCTGATGGGGGAAGCCGTTTCAGGGCGTAGTGTACAAAGGAAGGAGGGGGAGACGCGGCGATATGAGGGAGTTTGTGGATGCAGCACGGGCTTGAATTTCTCAGTCGTCTTGTTTTTGTACTCGGTGTTTGTTCGGGTAGATGTGGGGTCGTTTCTGTGCTCGCTATCGACCGCTTTCTTATCGATAAGTATCGGTGTAGCAGTCGGGGACGTGGGGAAGGGGGCCTTGGCGTAGCTCCTCTTCCATCAACAAACATTGCACAGTTCTTCTGTATGAATGGGCTTTTTCACTGTGGCGTCAGAGCAGTGCAGCAGGAGTGGCAGCAAATCAAAAGTGTGGGTTTTTCTGTGTAATATCGTGTGTCCGGTCTTTGAAGTCGCCTGCGTAACGATTGCGGAGCTGCATTATTAAATTATAAATGCGCATCCTTCCGCCCTCCCTTTGCACCGAGAGTAGGTCCCTCTCTGATCTCATCTGTTTAAAAGGGAGCTCAAAGCCTAAAGCTCTATGTGTCCACTCATCAGACAAGGGCTGATTAACACATCTTATCCACAGAGGAGGCTCTCCTGTGCGCTAATACAGGGATCCTGAGCCTGCCTGAAAGGGTCAGATTGTGTGTGAGTTCAAAGCAGAAATGTTAAGAAAAATCTGAATTGACTAAAGGAAAATTTTGTCTTTTTCTTCAGGAATCTCTGCGGAAGATCACCCACACACTGGCCATGAAGAATGAGGAGATTTCCAACTTCATCTGCACTCTCAAGCAGAGTCTGGACAACTTGGAGGTACAGTAACGCGAAGGGCTCAAGTTAAATTTGATCTCAAATGATACCCTGAACTGTTTTTTTCTGTTGCGACACCAGGCAAACTCCAACCGGGTGCAGGAGGACCTGGAGTCTGAATGCAGCTCCCTCCATGCTGTTCTGGACGAAATGAAAGAAAATATGCTGACCCGTATCAAACAGGAGCGAGCAAGCCGTACCTATGAGCTGCAGGTAGCCGTTATTGTTTCTTGATTTGAAAAGTCTAGATCTTTTTAATCGGGGGGGCATCATTACATGTCTTAGACTTATTACATGTCTGCATACGAAAGCTGGTGTTGCATCAGTGCTTGTGAGGACGTTGTTTCATTCTTTGTTGTTGTACATCCCATGCTCATCTCTTGATCACTGATTGAGTAAGGCGGTTCGCAGGATAAAACCGGAGCCTCCTGACCTTTAAGTCAGACTAAAACTAAACTTTTCTAAGTGAACAGCAAGCAGAATGCAACGTACTTTAACACGATCTGTTAAAAAATACTGTAACTGTACAGAATACAAACCACAAAAATACAGATAACAGGTTTAAGTGGAGCATCATCGTGTCTCTCTCGCGTTTGTCTTAAGATCTATGTTTTTTAATGCCACTGTAATTTATAATATTGGTGAGAAGCTTTTATCCTTCAAGCTGAATTCTAAAATGCTTCACATGTTCGGTTGTACTTCTCTTGAAAGTGTGTTGACTTTATGTGTCATTTGTTGGTTTGGAAATGCCTCTGAGGCATTAGGAAGACAGTAAGAATAGCTAGTAATGTGTTGGGAAGTGCGTTTCCAAG